TTAATTTCTTTCCTAAAAATTCCGATTTTTTTTAAAAGGGCGAATTTTTTGTAATTTCAAGCATTAATTTTTAACTAACGAAAAGTTATATAAATTATCAAAGTGCACTAAGATGTTAATCTTGTATGAATATTTTAGAAATATATTACAAAAGTCCTGTATATTTACGAGAAAAAAATATAAATATTTTTTTTCAGTTTTTTCAAAAACGGGTATTGAGCAAATCCGCCCTTTTAAAAAACAACGATTCAACTTTACATCGGCTACCGAAACGAGCTTTGATTGTAGAAATGGGCACTCTTTACATTTATTAACAATGGAGAGTTATTTACTAAAACTGTTGCAAAAGTTTTTGAGCGTTTTAGCAATAAAACTTGCAAAAATGAAATCCAAAATCATGTTAGTGTATTAAAAAAATGGTCCTACAACTTTTCAAAAAATGCCACTGATATAGCTGAGTTTTGCAACAAGTTATTTGTGTTCCATGCACCAGTGCTGACAATCTCACAGTCATTGCCACTTACCTCTAGTCCAATTGATACTGTTTCTTGTTCTTCCATCTCATCAAAACAAAATATCAGTTTTATATCGCCAGTGCAAAGCTAACTCCCATAAGCAATAGCAAAAACGAACAAAATCTCTATAATTTACGAGAAAAAATCACTCCTACAAATAAAAAGTTACAGAGTCGGTTATTTTAATTGTCATCACAATTAGCTAACTCTTCTAAAGAACAACGTTACAAGATTGCATTATTGAAATCTAAATTGAACAACATGCTCTACAAAATAAATGTTTTAAGACCATGCATTTAAAGAAAAGAGGAAATTATAAAAGCTTTAAGAGTTGAAGTTAGAAACTTGAAACAAAAAATTAAATCATGTTACTACAATAGGTGTATTCGAAATCTTGTAATAAAAAAAAAAAGGAAATGAAAATTGAAGCTAGAGAACAGCTAAGACAAGTAATGCTCAAACATAATATGTTAGTATAAGCTGTTAGCATAAGCTGTTAGTAGAGAAAATAAAATGGAAATTGCTAGATTAGAAAATGATATGACCCAAATAGAGGAGATTGATCGTATTGCTACATTTACTTCAGGGAGTGATAATGAAGCTTACTCATTGCAAACTAGAATGATAATCTAGAGCATGATATTGTGTAATGTTACAATGGGTAACATTCCAATTCTATTAAAAAAAATTGCACATCATTTTGGTGTTGGTTTGTTGCATATTCCCCAGCGTATCATTGTTGAGCAAATGGCTCGTGAGCTTGTTAGTATATCTGACATGTAAGCTGCAGAGTGGGCCATCTCCAATACAATTCTTAATCTTAGGTTTGACGCCACCACGCAGGAAGGTGTTCATATTAATAGTGTCCATTTAACGTCAAAAAGTAAATGTCAGGTCATTGGTTTAGACCAATTGCCTAGAGGGACGACTGATGATTATGAAAAACATATAGGTAACGCAGTGGATAATATGGCTTCAATTTATTCCAATTTTCATATGCTCTCCTTTGATGATTGACGAAGTTTAATTATTTCAAATATACCAAACACTATGTCAGACAGAGTTGCAGCCAACCACCTTACTATAAGCAAACTTTGTGACAAATGGGGAAAAACTCTAAATAAACTAAACTGCCATTTACACCCTCTTGACACAATTGCGACTCAATGTCGATTAGCATTAAAGTCTCAAGAAAATGAATATTGTAATTTATTTGGATGTAATTGTATGGCAGTTAAAATTGTTTTGGCTATGAACAAAATGAGGTTTAATGATGTAAAAGGCGATCCAAAAGGATTTGTTGATTTTTCAGACAATAAAAAACTAAACAGGGGTATCATTCCAAGATATAGAGGAAACCGTCTCCACATTCTTTTCCATACTTGTTATAGTTTTATTAAACACTATTATGATTTTTTATGTTAGTTAAAGATGTTTTGGAAACAATAAACGATTGCAAATCCAATCTAGCTGAATTGTTTGGCAAAACAACTGATTTTGTTGAGAAAAAGCTTTCCTCTTTTAGAACCAATTACAACTTTATGAGCTATTGATGGTCAGCTTATCAAGATGACTTTTGCCTGTTTTAAGGCAGTGGAGGATGTCTTAACTCGACAATATGAAAGATACTTTTCCATTTCTATTACAGCTAAATTTATGGAGGAGACAGCTAGTGCAAGACTTCACAACATAGATAGAGAAGAGTTGATGGGTATTTTTAGTAAAACTAAAGGGAGATCTCCTAATGCAACTATTTTTTTTTAAATCTTGCAAATTTCGATCTAAAAAAATGACTATGGATTATCTAGATAGTCTTGACCAAATAGAGAGAGAAAATGTAGTTAAGTGGTCTTTTAAAGCAGCTCGTATAGAAAGAATAACAAATTGACTGAATTAAACTGCATTAAGAGCAGAGATTTTAAAAAGACAGACATGCAAAAGGCAAAAATACTTTTTCGTACTGTAAAAAAGATGAAACTGATTCAGAAGCTGTTGACCATTGCATAAAAAAAATTCAACTTGCTGCTGATATTGTATCAGGAGAGTTGATATTTTCTTAATTCAATCTGCTTTAATGTCACTTAATGTTATTGTGCTATAATCTTACTGTCTAGTAGAAAAAGAAGTATGTGGTGTGATTTGCAAAAAAGTATTAAAAAACGGATACTTTGTTGCATCCAATGTGGTGAGATATTTTCTTAAAATTGTTTTTGTTGTTTTAATTAACATTTTTTTTTTGTTTTCATAATTGCAATCGAAACTGCAAGTGGTGTGACTTGCAAAAAAAATACCGCAGGATGTGTGCCTTGCAAATACGGTAATGCTAATGGTGTGACTTGCAAAATAGGTGTGACTTACAGAAAAGGTACTGTAAATGGTGCGTTTTGCAATTTTTTTGATAGACGGCTCTGGCTTACGCTAACGTCGTGTCTATTGTTTAAATGATTACTTAGTTTCATTGATGAAACTTTATTCATTCACTAAAAGCCAAGACGCAAGTTAGTATTTGTTGAAATTTAAAATATTTTTATTTTTAAATATCTGTTTTAAGTGAAAGGGAGGTATTCGAACGCTGAATTACAAAAAAAATGGCAACATCTTGAGGTAAAATGATGCATCTTGTAATGTGGAAAGTATGCTTTTATAATAATTTTTATTATTTTATATAATAAAATTGAAATTTTTCTAAATCGCATTATAAAAATGTAATTCTTAATTAAGGTTGGAAGGCGTTGTGGCACACACCCTTTCCTTGATTCTAAATGTGCGTTACTAGTGTGAAAACGAGAAATTTTCTTATTTAAAAAAATTTTTTTGTAATTATAATTAGATTTTACTTTTTTATATATAGATAAAAACCATTTTTCAGTTACAGGGTGTGTTAAACTGACACCCTCAAACCCAGCATAAAACAAAGATAAAACTTCTCTTACTTGGCAATAAAAATATTATTTTGATCACAGTTTCTTTAAGAAATCCGTATATCATAAAATCGGTACATAAAACGTTATAACTTTTCGTCATACTACTCGATTTTGATAACTTTTTCACTTTAAAAATACTGTATGGAAATGATATATCTCAATCTATCTATATAAATCAAATTATATATATAATAACAATCTGTAAAAAGATATATATGTCAATATAAATAAATATATCTATATATGTATATATCGATATATATCAATCTATAAATATATGAATAAATCTACAAATATATATAATATAAATCTATAAATAAATATAAATATATACAAATATATAAATACATACAAAAATATAAATATATAAATATATATATCGCTATATATCAATCTATAAATATATAAATAAATCTATAAATATATGATATAAATCTATAAATATATATAAATATATACAAATATATAAATATGTCAATATATATCGAGATATTTATCAATCTATAAATATATAAACAAATCTATAAATATATGATATATATCTATAAATAAATACAAATATATATATATGTATATATATATATATATATATGTATATATATATATATATATATATATATATATATATATATATATATAAATATAAATACATATCGATATATCTCCATCTATAAATATATAAATAAATCTATAAATATATAGTATAAATCTATAAAGATATATATATATATACATGTAAGCCTATATATATATATATATATATATATATATATATATATATATATATATATATATATATATATATATATATATATATATATATATATATATATATATATATATAAATATATATGTGATATAGATCTAAATATAGATAAAAATCTATAAACATAAATTTAGATCTATATATATATAAATTAATATATTTTATATATCGATAAATATCAATCTATAAATATATAAATCGATCAAGTGTGTAATTAATCTAAAATTTTCATGCTACGTACCTAAATTATTATGTATAGAGCCTTAAGAAGGTCTATTCATGTAGTTGACGACTCCAAAAATGATGATGCAGATAATAAGAATGATAAAGTTTTCTAAATTAGACCCATGGTTGAACAGTATAATTGATAGTACGGGATAATTGTCACAAAATAGAGCCATAACCGGTACATTCCATTGATGAGCAAATAATTCAGGCAACAACTACACATAGTGATGTTCCCCAATATAAACGAAAAAAGCCTCATAAAGGGGGTTTACAAATGTTTGTTCGATCGTGCTGAAGTGGAATCATTTACGATTTTTTGATGACTGTGGCGCCAAAGGCACTAGTAGAAAAGATTCTTTGTGTATATTGATGTATATAGATTTTAAAACGAATACCTAATAAAATAAAAAAAAAGATACATATATATATTATATAAATCGGGTTTTTCTCTAAAAATTTAACATAATGAAAGTTTAAAATACACTAAGATATAAATTAATCGCTTATGTTTTTTTTAAATAATCTTACTATTATTATTACAAGCAGAAGGCAATTCGTTATACGGGTTAGTAGTAAATAAATCATTTCTAACATTTGGTCTTTCTTTACTTTCTCTAATGAAATATAAATATATTTATACATTTTTTTAGTGTAGCTCACTTTTATTTTTCTTGGCTTCTTAGTTTAAGAGAATTCTTAGCTTCATTAAAGGTAAAGGTAACCATTTCTTTTGCAATGTTCAGACATTGAATGCGCAAATCACAACCATGTAGTAGTTAAAAATGACTCAAATTATATGCACGGAACATTGATGTCAAATTTTCTATTTCCGTAAAATTGTTTAGGTAAATATTGGGAATATATTTTACTCTTAATTTTGCTTTTAGGTGGCTTCACAGGAAATAATTTTTTTTTAGTAAAGTAACTTAAATCAATTCTAAAATCAGTTTTATAAACTTAATTTAATGAAAATAATAATAAAGTAAAAAGGTTTATTGGAAAAAAAAAAAAAAAAAAAGGACTTTATTGTTAAAAAGCACACAAAAAAGCATATTTTCATTTATTTTTCAAAACACGATTACTCCAGAATGGATAATTAAGACAACTCGGTCCTTAGCAATATTACTTTCTGATATATGAGTCAGAGGATAAACTAAAATCGTTATATAAAAATAAAAACATTTTTTTTTAAGTCCTAAAAACCTGAAAATTAACTAATTTCTAGGTAGGTAAGGTTCGAAAAAGACATAGCAGTTGATAAATTTCATTCAATCATCAAGATTTTAGTTTTTTTTATTCTCTACATATATAAATATATGTATATATATGTATATATATATATATATATAAATATATATATTTATATATATATATATATATATATATATATATATATATATATATCTATATATATATATATATATATATATATATATATATATATATATATATATATATATATATATATATATATATATATATATATATATATATATATATATATAAATATATATATTGAACAATTATAGAAAATTTGGAGGTCTAAGCATTTTTTAATGTTAAGATATCGTGTTTTGAGTTGATAAGTTATGGTAAAATATTCATTTTTAGATATATGGCAAATAAGTAAAAAAAGTTTTAAAAAACATCCCTTTTCGTAGCTATTTTTTGATGATTGATCTTGATCTTTATCAATCCAACCTTTTCTAATTCTTCTTAAATCTTTTCTTCTTTTTTTTTGTGGTTTGCCTTTTTTTACCATATTTTGTAACCTCTTTTGGTCTTTTTTTACTGAACTAGTTATTGTATTTTTTCCCAAGTCTAGATTTAAATGTTTAAATACACGATAAATACCAGATAAACCTTCGATAAAAGAAAGAACTGCTGAGTTTACTCCCATTTCAAGAACATCAGTCTTTACATAAACATTTTTAGGGCATCGAGACCAGATGATATTATTTAGTCCTTCATTTCAATTTTGAGTTTGCCCATGAAGACATTTTTTTAATAGATCATCGTTACTCAATTCATCAAAGTCTTTCTTGATAATTTCATAAATCCATTCAGGCAACTTTAACTTAGGAGAATAGTTTTCATCTGCATCTGCATTTTTACTTTTTTTCCACTTGCACCAGCTATCTGGATCAATTGGGCAAAGAATATGTCGATGCGATTTGTCTTCAAAACCAGTAAAACAGCTTTTATGTTTTTTTCATTTGATACACTTTCTGCTCATCAGTTAAATTTTGTTATGCAGCTGTATGCCTGATAGCAATACCAAAAGCATTATGCAATGTATTAACACTTGCTTCAGTTAACCTCCCTTTACCAGACAATTTTTTATCGCCATATGACACTTTGCGTTGACTTCTCAAACGTGAACCTATTCTTTTTTGAACATGTCCAACTCATTCTAATTTTTCAGGTATAATACTAAAAACTTGCTTGCGTCAACATCATTAAAAGAAGAAGAATCACCGTCTCCCAGATAGTATTTGTAAATAAAACCATACTGCGAGAGAGAACAAGAAAAAATATCAACTGCACCAGCACTCTCCATGGCTCCTGACGACTTGGTATGATTAAGACTACACTTGTGCTTTACTTTCCATGTTTCATATTCTGTAGAACCTTTTTTATGTGCCCAAATTTGACAACCTCTACAATATTTACTCATTACTTGTACATCTAAACACTTCCCTTCACATATGACTGTAACAACTCCATTTAATAAAGTGTGGCCTCGTGTTTACCAAGAACCATCAATAGCAACTTGGACAAGTGCTTCTCCTGTGTTAAGTTTTTCTTTTGACTCTAGTTTAGCAGTAAGAGCAGCCTCATTCATTGATTCTTCTGAAGCAAATTTGTATGCTTCTTTAACAGTTTTACTTATATTGTCAAAAGCATTTACAGTTAAACATGACATGTTCATAAGTCGTGAAAAATTAACCATTGGTTGGTGTCCTTTTCCAATTTCACGGAATCCTATTACCATTTTCAAGTTAACATCAAACATGTTTCTACCTTTTTTATCACTTTTAACTATGTTTGAAGTAATATTACTGTATGTAAAAGGACATTGAGCATTTGTACAAGTTAAAATAAATTTATGGGAGAAACTCATTCTGCTAGAATAATCATCTGTGATGTTAACTTTACTTTTACACTCAGGACATGCACAAACTAAATCAAGTAACTGCTTGATAAAATTAAAATTAACAAGATCAAAATTATTATTTGTGTTAGCATTATTTGTATCTTCGACATCAAACTTTAACTTTTAAGCACTGATACATGAAACACTTTCAGACAAGTTGCCAGTAACATTCGTATCTTTAATACATTGTGTGTGCTTATTACCACTTAATTTTCTCTTCTTTGATCTTGAAGTATTCTTATAATTACCCATTATATATTTAATTTATTAACCTAAAAAAAATATTTCCAGTAAACATTGTATCAACACAACTTGTGTTAGTACAATGGTTTTGTCACAGGAAGTGAGTAATTAAATGATCGTATAATCATGCAATTTGAGTAAGTGAAACGGTTTTATTTTGAAAACTCAACGTAGTTAGCCTCTAAACTAAATCTTTTGTAATTACATAACAAGAAAACATACCACAACAGTGGTATGTTTTAATACTGTTTTCTTCCGTTGCTACAGGCGTTGCTAAGGAAGCTACTTTGTGACATACTTGCAAAATGCGAAATAGTACCCTTATAAATTTAAATTATTAAAAAATAATTGTACCATCATTTTCAGCAATGTGTAAATTCTTTAAAATCATATCTTTCAAAAAAAAAATTTTTTTAGATTTTGCTTTTTTTATTTCCTGTGAAGCCACCTTAAGCTAAGTCGTTTCTTTTTTTTTTTTAACTTTTCATCTTACTGAGTGAAGAGCTTAAAAAAATGTCACTATCACACCTAATCTTTTCACTGTTTTTAATATACTTTTTAAATATTTTAAAAACATCCAAAAAATTACACCCAAACTTGTAGGCATAGAAGTTGGATATCCGGAAAAACTATAGGTGGAAAAATATATCGCAGTTCCAAAAAGGGCTTAGCCCTGCATACGGATCCTATATTATTATATATGATAAAGATTATTACTAAACCAACCCTTTTTTTTAATTAGTAATCCAGCAGAAACTTGTTTATAAAAAAACAAAGGAATATATCGATTTACTTTTTAGCTAACGTATATCAACATATTCAAAGAATTGTTTAAAAGATATAAACAGTCGTACAAGATATAAACAATTGTTTTAAAGACATTTAAAAGATATAAACAATCGTACTTTAGTGTTATATAGATAAGTAGATATATATGAAAACAAAAACAACAACAGGAAATCAGTATACCTGTTTTTGGTAACCTATTGTGATACTGCAGCAGTTGCTGTAGGGATGCAGCTGTTCTTCTAGGTGTTGTTCAAAAACGTAATTTTTATGTTGGCTCTTAGTAGACTTTAGTTTAATTTATAAGACATCAAACGGATTTAAAATACTCAAACTAAAAAAAGCAAAACATAAAATGCTTCAAGGAGCCAAACTATAAACTTTAATGATTAAGAATCGAATCGAGATAAATAAATTGTATTTATATAGCTAAATATATTGTCTTGGGTTTTGGTAAATTTTAAAAGCAGTGAGATCAATAAATGAAGCTACCAAATAATTGTTATTAACCAAAGAATGCAGCATCATTATATTACTAGCAGTAAGCAACCCGTAATACGGGTTAGTAGGAGAAAAATCATTACTAACAATTTGATAATTATTTACTTTCTCTGATAAAATATAAATTTATTTAAACAGTAAGCAACCCGTAATACGGGTTAGTAGTAGAAAATTCATTACTAACAATTTGATATTTATTTACTTTCTCTAATAAAATATTAATTTATTTAAACAGTAAGCAACCCGTAATACGGGTTAGTAGTAAATAAAAAATTACTAACAATTTGATCTTTATTTACTTATTACTTTCTCTAATGATTATAAATTTATTTATACATTTTTTTAGTTGAGCTCACTTTTATTTTTCTAGGCTTCTTAGTTTAAGAGAACTATTAGCTTCATTAAAGATAAAGTTAACCATTTTTTTTGCAATGTTCAGACATTGAATGCGCAAATCACAACCATGTAGTAGTTAAAAATGACTTGAATTATATGCACAGAACATCGATGTCAAATTTTCAAATTCCGTAAAATTGTTTAGGTAAATATTGGGAATATATTCTACTCTCAATTTTGCTTTAAATGAGTCGTTTCTTTTATTTTTAAACTTTTCATTTTACTGAGTGAAGAGCTTAAAAATACGTCACTATCGCACCTTAACTTTTCAATATTATTAATATACTTTATAAATATTTTTAAAACATCTAAAATATTACAAAACTTGTAGGCATAGAAGTTGGATATCCGGAAAAACTATAAGTCAAAAAATATATTGCAATTCCGAAAAGGGCTTAGCCCTGCATACGGATCCTATATTATTATGATAAAGATTATTATCAAACCAACCTTTTTTTTAATTAGTAATCCAGCAGAAACTTGTTTATAAAAAAACAATAAAGGAATATATGGATTTACTTTAATAGCTAACGTATATCAACATATTCATTTCAGCATTCATCCAATCCATATTTATACTAATTTTATAACATGTCCGGAATACATTTTGCCATAACTTGGCGTTAAATTATTA